GTGTGTGTGTGTGTGTGTGTGTGTGTGTGTGTGTGTGTGTGTGTGTGTGTGTGTGTGTGTGTGTGTGGGGCTTATGTCATCATCAGTGAGGACCAAACATGGCGAGGTCAGTGTGACTCCGCCCCCTCAGGGAGGTTGTAGTCCTGTGGACAGATGAGCTGAGGGACAGAAGGAGTCATGTGGAGTCGAAGCTTCTGGCAGCAGCTCGTCCGCCGAGCATCCACTTCCTCTCAGGTCAGAGGGGGTCCGAGGGGTCTGACACGTCAGGGGCAGTGTGGACAACATGAAGACCAGAACCTGGAGGGTTCTAAAGGTTCTGTCTGTCTCCCTTCAGGCCGGCATCCTGTTTGACGTAGATGGCGTGCTCCTTCGTGGTGGTTCTGTGATTCCAGCTGCTCAGCGGGCTCTGAGGAAACTTGTGGACCAGAACCACAACTTCCTGTTTCCTGTCGTCTTTGTCACCAATGCAGGAAGCTGTCAGAGACAGCAGAAGGCCCAGCAGCTGTCTCACCTGCTGGATGTTCAGGTAGGATGGACACAGGTGGAGGACCCTCTCAGACGGGTTCTGTTTGGACTCTGTTTTGGTGGGTTTGACATGGTTTGGTTTTATGTTCTGGGATGTGATTGCAGATAACACCTGAGCAGGTGGTTCTGTCACACAGTCCTCTGCGCATGATGACAACTTTCCACGATAAGTGTGTGCTGGTGTCGGGGCAGGGACCAGTGAGCCACATCGCTCATGAGTATCCTTCACCTGGTACCTGCCGGGACCACCTGGTACCTGCCGGGTCCACCTGGTACCTGCCGGGTCCACCTGGTACCTTCTCATTCAACGAGTTTCATCATTTCAAACAGAAAGTGTAGAATTACCAAACGTGTCACTAACCTGTGGTAAAAGTTTGAACCTGTATTCACTGATGGCAGTAAGCTACACTGTAGCCACAGCTGCCCTGGGGCGCACTGACAGAGGTGGGGCTGCCATGCACCGACACCTCCGGACCCTCTGACCACCATCAGTAGGCAAGGTGGGTGAGTGTCCTGCCCAAGGACACAACGACTGAGACGGCTGGACGGGGGAATCGAACCGGCAACCCACCTGTTACAGGACAACTCCCCCCAACCACTTCCCCACAGCCACATCAATAACAAGCAGAAACACATGTTAATATACAATGTTGTGTTTGTGCACATTGTGTAATAATGTGCACAAACAGGTGTCATTGTGTAACAACATGCACAGTGTACATTGTGTAATAACATTTTTGTGTATGTAATTGTGTAATAACACACACAGTGTACATTATGTCATAACGTGCACAATATAGATTGTGTAATAACATTTTTATGGATGTTATTGTGTAATAACATGCACAGTGTACATTATGTAATAACATGCACAGTATAGATTGTGTAATAACGTGTTTGTGCTCATTGTTGTGTAATAACATGTTTGTGCTCATTGTTGTGTAATAACGTGTTTGTGCTCATTGTTGTGTAATAACATGTTTGTGCTCATTGTTGTGTAATAACATGTCTGTGCTCATTGTTGTGTAATAACATGTCTGTGCTCATTGTTGTGTAATAATGTGTTTGTGCTTGTTCTGTAATAACGTGTTTGTGCTCATTGTTGTGTAATAATATTTGTGCTCATTGTTGTGTAATAATGTGTTTGTGCTCGTTGTGTAATAACATGTTTGTGCTCATTGTTGTGTAATAACATGTTTGTGTTCATTGTTGTGTAATAACATGTTTGTGTTCATTGTTGTGTAATAA